ACATGGAGAGAGCTTCCTCCGGGTGGGAAGTGACTGGGTCCCCACAGGGGGCTGTGGTACTGCCACTGGGCAGAGCGAAACCCAGAAAACGGCCTCCCTGAGCCAGAGCTAACACGACCCGACTGTGGGGCTCAGCTGGGCTGACATGGGGTTAGTGTATTATTTTCTTATAAACTTTTTGTTGTTGTTGTTGTGGATTGTGGGTCTTGAACTCAGGGCTTGGGCGCTGTCCCTGAGCTCTTCAGCTCAAGGCGAGCACTCTACTGCTTGAGCCACAGCTCTACTTCCAGTTTTCTGGTGGTTTATTGGAGATAAGAGTTTCACAGACTTTCCTGCCGAGGCTGGCTTTGAACCTCTCTCCTCAGATCTCAGCCTCCTGAGAAGCTAGGATGTCAGGCATGAACCACCAGTGCCTGGCAGATTTTCTTATGAACTTTTAAATTTATATTCTGCTTCCAGTTCAGTCTCATTTAACTTTTTACATTGTTAATGATTGTATTCTTTTGTGCTTCATGATAGAACAAAGTGGGTTTTTCTTTTTAACTCAATCCTCTGGAAAACTTGGAAAATAGAAAGGTGCCTTAAAAAATACCTATTATTAAAAAGTAAATGGAGGGGCTGGGAAGGTGGCTCAGTGGTAGAGTGCTTGCTTTGCATGCATGAGGTCCTGGGTTCAATTCTTCAGCACCACATAAGCAAAAAGAAAAAAGCCAGAAGTGGCGCTGTGGCTCAAGTGGTAGAATGCTAGTCTTGAGCTGAAGAGCTGAGGGACAGCGCCCAGGCCCAGGCCCAGAGTTCAGGCCCCATGACCGGACCCCCCCCCCCCGCCAAAAAAAAAAGCAAGACCACTGTGCAATAAATGTCCCCCGGCCCTCCGTCCTCACGGCGTGGTGTCTGACACTGCCAGGCCAGGCATCGGCGGCGGAAGGATGTCTAACTGAGGTTTGAACGATTTCTGGTGCAATGGCTCCTAGTCCATGCTTCTTTCCTTGGATGACAGTCTAATGACCAGCTGCTGGTGCTGGCCGAAACCGGGGTAGAGACTGGTCAGCACTTGGCAGAGTCACAGAGAGTGAACCTGTGCTGAGCCCAGCACGCGGCGCCCAGTCAGCGGCGCAGTGGCCTGGAGGCCACAGAAAGAAATCGCTGAGGACAAGTGAGTGACCGAGGAAATGTTTATTTTCGGGAGGAGGGCGGGTGACACGCACAGGCCCCGAGGGACAGCGTCTGTGTGTGGAGGGTTAGGTAAGTGTACTGGGGTCTCCGGTGTGAACTCTGTTTCTCAGCCCTGCACTTTACACTGGCTGGCGTGCTGGAGAGAGCAGCACACACTTAATAGTGTGTGGGGATGACTGTGCTGTTTAGAGGAAGAGATGAGGAGACGAGTCTCCCGCTCCTCCTGCAGGTCCTGAGCTTTACCCGGAAGAGGGAAAGGTGCCGGCAGGACTCCCTGCTTGCCCCGCAGGCCCCAAGGCCTTTGTTCTTAGGAGGCGTGTAGATAATGAATCCGGGGCTTCCACATGAATTAGAGGAAGTCCTGCCAGAGGAACCCTCAAAGCCCACACCGCTTGTCAGAGATCGCAGAATGGAAAGGAAGAAGAAATAATCCTAGTGGGTTGGCTCTGGGCTCTAGTTCATAGAAGATGCAGATAATGGTGAAGAAGAAGAAGAAGGAGGAGGAGGAGGAGGAGGAGGAGGAGGTGGTGATGTGAGGGATGGCAGTAATAGCAAAATCTACTGCTAGGAACCTACTGTGTGCTATGAGAATCTGTTTTCATTTTTATCTTTTTACAAAGTTAATGTCAGTTAAGTTCCATGAAAATCCACTGAAGTGGGAGCTAATGTCTTTATCTGAAGATGAGGAAATAGAGGCCTGGAACGCTTCATTGTTTTTCATAAGGCCACACACCTGTGAATGTGGAAGGCATGGCTTGTATCCGGCAGAGACTGTGTGGGGTGTGGGGGAGACAGGGAGGGGAGGGGGAGACAGGGAGGGGAGGCGGAGGGGAAGCTGGGGGGTCCGTTCCTCAGGCACAAAGTCAGAAGTGGTGGGATGTGGTGTTTGGCTCCCAGCAGCACAGGAGAGACTCTCTGGTGTCTCTTTTCAAATGGAAAAAGAACAAAACGTGCAGGCAAGTGTGTACACACGGCCGGGCGAGGGCTCTTGGCACGTGAGCGTGGTGGCTGAGCATCTCCGGGTCCGCCAGGTGTGTGGAGACTGAGTTCTGAGGGGTTGGAGGCTGAGCCCAGGTGTGGGTCTGGAGGCGGCTGTGAAGGAGGACCGCAGTGGCCTCCCTTCGTCCGTCCACCGTCCCGCTGGACCTGGAGCCCTTGCCCCTCCACGCGGCTGCATCCCTCAGACTCCGCTGCGCTTCTCAGCTGGAAGCCCCCGGAACCGGGCTAACCCAGCCTAGCATGGCGGGAGGGAGCACTCACATCCGGACTAAAGCTCTGGCGAGACCATGTATTTAACACATCCAGAGGGTCAGCTACGCGCTTGGTGTTGGGCTAAATTCTGGGGGTGCAGGGGGTCCTTGTAGTCGGAAGCTGTCTGCCCAGTGGAGTCTTAATCAATTGTCACAGGAATGGCTGAACCCTGAACGCGGTCCCCGGAAGATCAGGGACACAGGCCCCTGGGCCTTCCCCTCCACACGCCCTCCCCCCGGGTGCCCTCCCCCCTCACATCCTACCCCCCCCACGCGCCCTCTGACCCGTTCTGTAAGCACCGTATGGAATGGCTTAGCTCCTGCGCAAAGGCAGGAAGGAGAAATAACAGAGCGGCAGAGAGAAAACAAGACAGTAGCTGTTGGCAGCGGACTCGAGGGTGTTTGCGGAGAGCAGCGAGCAATCTACAAAAACAATCGCAGAAACCGGAGGTGGATTTAACGAAACGCCGCGGACAAGGTCAAGGTGGCAGCTTGCTCCGAGGTTCTTCTAACAATTCCTTCCTTCCTGACAGGCGCGGGACGCAGCCCCTGGTCGGGGAAGTCTCTGCGCTCGTGACTTACTTTAACCAATAAAATGTGGAGACAGGTGCTGAAGACCACCAGGCTGGGGGGAAAGGGGCTGTGTGTGTGTGTGTGTGTGTGTGTGTGTGTGTGTGTGTGTGTGTGTGCGCGTGCACGTGCGCACACACACATGTGCACACATGTGGACATGTTCTCTTGGCTCTGGTGCAGCCTCACGGGCCGTGGGTCAGACACGGAGGGTCAGAGGGCTGAGTTCTGGTGCTCTGGGTATGAGTTTACTTCTGTGCATTTTTGTTCTTTACATATTTTAATGTTTGCTCTCTCTATTCCTGATATTTTTACAAATTAAGAGAAAGAGGATTTTTCAAAAGGGTTGAACAATCATGTACACTTTGTCATTACATTAAGGAGTGGTATTACAGTGCCATTGATCTATTATAAAATGTGAAAGTTCTTAATTGAAATATGGACGTGTGAACATAAAGATCTATCATGAAAGCGAGTGGAATGAAGGGTTCCTCACATCTGAACCATTTGAACAAGAGTGAGTTGAAGTGCAGAACCACCGTTCTTTATCCCGGCTGAAGAGAAGCTTTGTCTGGACGGGTGCCATGGAGTGACTCTCCACGAGAACCCGCCCAGGTTCAGAGTCCCAACTAAGCCAGTGACCACCCTTCAGCCCACTTGATTCAAGGACAATCCTCTTTCCTACAGTCAGATCCCAGAGTGCAGAGTTTCCCTACGGTGACTTGTAATGGCAATGGCAGTAGCGGTGGTGATGGAGGCAATGGTGGTGATGGTAATGATGGTGATGGTGATGATGGTGATGATGGTGATTGTAATGGTGATGATGGTGATGGTGGTGGTGCTAATGGTGATTGATGGTGATGATGGTGATGATGGTGATGGTAATGGTGATGGTGATGATGATGGTGATGGTGATGATGATGGTGATGATGGTGATGGTGATGGTGGTGATGGTGATGGTGATGGTGATGGTGATGGTGATGATGGTGATGGTGATGGTGGTGATGGTGATGATGATGATTATGATGATGATGATGGTGATGGTGATTGTGATGGTGATGATGGTGATGGTGATGATGATTGTGATGGTGATGATGGTGATGGTGGTGATGATGGTGATGGTGATGGTGATGGTGGTGATGATGATGGTGGTGATTGTGATGGTGGTGATGGTGATGGTGATGGTGATGGTGATGGTGATGATGGTGATGGTGATGGTGGTGATGGTGATGATGATGATTATGATGATGATGATGGTGATGGTGATTGTGATGGTGATGATGGTGATGGTGATGATGATTGTGATGGTGATGATGGTGATGGTGGTGATGATGGTGATGGTGATGGTGATGGTGGTGATGATGATGGTGGTGATTGTGATGGTGATGATGGTGATGATGATGATGATGGTGATGATGGTGATGGTGATTGTGATGGTGATGATGGTGGTGATGATGGTGATGATGATGGTGATTGTGATGATGATGATGGTGATGGTGATTGTGATGATGATGGTGATGGTGATGATGGTGATGATGGTGATGGTGATGGTGATGGTGATGATGATGATGATGGTGATTGTGATGGTGATGATGATGGTGGTGATGATGATGGTGATTGTGATGGTGATGATGATGGTGATGGTGATGGTGATGGTGGTGATGATGGTGATGGTGATGATGATTGTGATGGTGATGGTGATGGTGATGATGATGGTGATGATGGTGATGGTGGTGATGGTGATGGTGATGATGGTGATTGTGATGGTGATGATGGTGATTGATGGTGATGATGGTGGTGGTGGTGATGGTGATGGTGATGATGGTGATTGTGATGGTGATGGTGATGATGATGGTGATGATGGTGATGATAGTGGTGGTGGTGATGGTGATGGTGATGATGGTGATTGTGATGGTGATGATGGTGGTGGTGGTGATGGTGATGATGATGTTGATGGTGATTGTGATGGTGATGATGGTGATGGTGATGATAATGGAGGTAGCGATGATGGTAATGATGATGGTGATGGTGCTGCTGCTGTTACTGCTGTCTGAGTATGTTTGCTGAAAGCGGGCTCGATGTGTAGGAAGGCTTGACCACGTGAAGGGGATTGCCTCATGTGGCAGCCATGCATGGACCCTGCATGTCGGCTCTAGGGGTGTGCGGCCAGCCTTCAGCCACAGCTGGAGAGGTGCCAGGCAGCTCTTCCAGTGTTCTGCTCCTGGAACCGCCTTGCTCCAGGCCTCTTCCCTAGGAGGACGGAGTGTCATTAGGAAGCTATGGAGGCTGAACGACTCTCCCTCTGGAATCCAGGACACAGGTTTGCGAAGCGCTTGGCAAGGCTGGGCATCCTAGTTTGGTGAGAGGTGCTTACGTCGTCAGGGGAAGCCTGATTTTGGCCTCCTGCACCTTCCAGCTCCCACTTGGCTGGGCCATCCGCCTTCTTCAGATTCACAGTTAGATGTGTGTGTGTGTGTGTGCATGTGTGCATGTGTGTGAGTGTGCACATGGTCTGCGGGATGTAGCACCTCCCCCACTGCTCTCTGCCTCCCCATCGGAATGTTTTCACAGTGTGTGATCTGAGGGCGGAGGCCTCTTTTCCTGTTATCACTTCCCTTTCAACGCTAACATGCTCGGGAGGTGCTGGTCTTGGGATAATAGCAGGTGTTATCAGTATCAGTAGCAGGGTAATAGCGCAGTACTAGTAACTACAGTGGCAATAGCGACCCATGCATGTGCCGCCGGCATTTCATGTTTCCCGCTCTGTGTTAATTACCACACGTCACTCCATTGAGACATGACAACACCCTGGACAAACACTCTCTTTGTGGGATGTGAAGCCAAATATCCGCCCGTGTCCCATCCTGCCCCTGGTGAGCCCGCCGCCCGCTGCCGGTCTCTCCTGTTCTCCCACAGCAGTGGAGGGGCTGGCAGGCAGGCAGATGCCCCTGGGATTGGCCACGGCAGGCCAGAGGGCTGACACGCTCAGCCCTGGGCTCTCCGAGGCGTGTCACATGTGGGCTGCAGCCCCTGGAGAAGTGAACGGATGTGTCTCCCCGTGCTGACCTCGGGAGCCACACAGGGCCGCCCTTCTGTTGTCCCAAGCTGAGGAAACAGCTTTGCCCACAGCTCTCCAACACAGCCTGGAAGGCATCATCACAGTGTTTCTGGAAAGTGGGCCGATTCTTCAGGAAGCCTCACCTACCTGCACCAGTGGGTGGCCTTGTCCACCGGCTCCTGGGAGAACCAGGGTCCACTGTTGTTTTCTGTTCCTGCATGCTGTGGACCTGCACAGGACGACCCCAGTGTCCCTGCATGCTGTGGATCTGCACAGGACGCCCCCAGTGTCCCTGCATGCTGTGGATCTGCACAGGACGCCCCCAGTGTCCCCGCGTGCTGTGGATCTGCACAGGACGCCCCCAGTGTCCCCGCGTGCTGTGGACCTGCACAGGACACCCTCAGTGTCCCCGTGTGCCGTGGATCTGCACAGGACGCCCCCAGTGTCCCTGCATGCTGTGGATCTGCACAGGACGCCCCCAGTGTCCCCGCGTGCCCTGGACCTGCACAGGATGCCCCCAGTGTCCCCGCGTGCTGTGGATCTGCACAGGACGCCCCCAGTGTCCCTGCATGCTGTGGATCTGCACAGGACGCCCCCAGTGTCCCTGCATGCTGTGGACCTGCACAGGACGCCCCCAGTGTACCCGCGTGCTGTGGATCTGCATAGGACACCCTCAGTGTCCCTGCATGCTGTGGATCTGCACAGGACGCCCCCAGTGTCCCCACGTGCTGTGGACCTGCACAGGACGCCCCCAGTGTCCCCGCGTGCTGTGGACCTGCACAGGACGCCCCCAGTGTCCCCGCGTGCTGTAGATCTGCACAGGACGCCCCCAGTGTCCCCGCGTGCTGTGGACCTGCACGGGACGCCCCCAGTGTTCCTGCATGCTGTGGACCTGCACAGGACGCCCCCAGTGTCCCCACATGCTGTGGATCTGCACAGGACGCCCCTAGTGTCCCCGTGTGCCGTGGATCTGCACAGGATGCCCCCAGTGTTCCTGCATGCTGTGGACCTGCACAGGATGCCCCCAGTGTCCCCGCGTGCTGTGGATCTGCACAGGAAACCCTCAGTGTCCCTGCATGCGGTGGATCTGCACAGGACGCCCCCAGTGTCCCCGGGTGCTGTGGATCTGCACAGGACGCCCCCAGTGTCCCCGGGTGCTGTGGATCTGCACAGGACGCCCCCAGTGTCCCTGCGTGCTGTAGACCTGCACAGGACGCCCCCAGTGACCCTGCGTGCCCTAGACCTGCACAGGATGCCCCCAGTGACCCCGCGTGCCCTGGACCCGCACAGGATGCCCCCAGTGACCCCGCGTGCCCGGGACCTGCACAGGACGCCCCCAGTGTCCCCGCATGCTGTGGACCTGCACAGGATGCCCCCAGTGTCCCCGCATGCTGTGGATCCGCACAGGACGCCCCCAATGTCCCTGCATGCTGTGGATCTGCACAGGACGCCCCCAGTGTCCCTGCATGCTGTGGACCTGCACAGGACGCCCCCAGTGTCCCTGCATGCTGTGGATCTGCACAGGACGCCCCCAGTGTCCCCGCGTGCGGTGGATCTGCATAGGACACCCCCAGTGTCCCTGCATGCTGTGGATCTGCACAGGACGCCCCCAGTGTCCCCGCGTGCCGTGGATCTGCACAGGATGCCCCCAGTGTCCCCGCGTGCTGTGGATCTGCATAGGACACCCCCAGTGTACCTGCATGCTGTGGATCTGCACAAGACGCCCCCAGTGTCCCCGCATGCTGTGGACCTGCACAGGACACCCTCAGTGTCCCCGTGTGCCGTGGATCTGCACAGGATGCCCCCAGTGTCCCTGCGTGCTGTGGATCTGCACAGGACGCCCCCAGTGTCCCCGCAGGCTGTGGATCTGCATAGGATGCCCCCAGTGTCCCTGCATGCTGTGGACCTGCACGGGATGCCCCCAGTGTCCCTGCATGCTGTGGATCTGCACAGGACGCCCCCAGTGTCCCCGCATGCTGTGGACCTGCACGGGATGCCCCCAGTGTCCCCGCGTGCTGTGGACCTGCACGGGATGCCCCCAGTGTCCCCGCGTGCTGTGGATCTGCATAGGACGCCCCCAGTGTCCCTGCATGCTGTGGACCTGCACGGGATGCCCCAGTGTCCCCGCATGCTGTGGATCTGCACGGGATGCCCCCAGTGTCCCCGCATGCTGTGGACCTGCACAGGATGCCCCCAGTGTCCCCGCGTGCTGTGGATCTGCACAGGACACCCTCAGTGTCCCCGTGTGCCGTGGATCTGCACAGGATGCCCCCAGTGTCCCCGTGTGCTGTGGATCTGCACAGGACGCCCCCAGTGTCCCTGAGTGCTGTGGATCTGCACAGGACGCCCCCAGTGTCCCTGAGTGCTGTGGATCTGCACAGGACGCCCCCAGTGTCCCTGCATGCTGTGGATCTGCACAGGACGCCCCCAGTGTCCCCGCGTGCTGTGGATCTGCATAGGACACCCCCAGTGTCCCTGCATGCTGTGGATCTGCACAGGACGCCCCCAGTGTCCCCGCATGCTGTGGACCTGCACAGGACACCCTCAGTGTCCCCGTGTGCCGTGGATCTGCACAGGATGCCCCCAGTGTCCCCGCGTGCTGTGGATCTGCACAGGACGCCCCCAGTGTCCCCGCATGCTGTGGATCTGCACGGGACGCCCGCAGTGTCTCTGCGTGCTGTGGATCTGCATGGGACGTCCCCAGTGTCCCCGCATGCTGTGGATCTGCACAGGTTGCCCCCAGGGTCCCTGCGTGCTGTGGATCTGCATAGAACGCCCCCAGTGTCCCTGAGTGCTGTGGATCTGCAGGGACGCCCCCAGTGTCCCTGCATGCTGTGGATCTGCACGGGATGCCCCCAGTGTCCCTGAGTGCTGTGGATCTGCAGGGACGCCCCCAGTGTCCCTGCATGCTGTGGATCTGCACAGGATGCCCCCAGTGTCCCCGTATGCCATGGATTTGCACTGGATGCCCCCAGTGTCCCCGCATACTGTGGATCTGCAGGGACGCCCCCAGTGTCCCTGAGTGCTGTGGATCTGCAGGGAACACCCCTAGTGTCCCTGCGTGCTGTGGACCTCCAATGGACACCTCAGCCCCACTCCTAGCCAGGAAGGTTTGTTTCAGCCTTGGTCAATCATTAACGGATCTGCAAATCCTCTCACAGCACTGTGCGTGGTCTGACAGGAAGACAACACATTTCTGAACACGGAATGAATCTTTGGATACCTGCGTGCAGTGTCCTTTCTTTCCTCCTTAGCATCTGTGTGATTTGGGGAAGTTGCCCCGTGGCCTTGATGGCGGTCTCCTTGTGAAGGAGGGGATGGCATGGCAGCTGGTGTCCAGGTGTGGATGACAAGGTTGTATGTGACCTGCGGGAATGGGCTTCAGACCACGCAGCCGCTCAGCAGGTGTGGTTGACACAATGGCAGTAGATGGATGGTTTGCCGGCAGCAGAAATGACAGAGCGCAGGACACAGGACAGGAGCCCTTTGTTTCTGGGGGACCAGCGTTGGTACCTGAACTCGGTAAAAGACAGAAGTTCTCCCAACAACACGCACCTAGAAAGAGCAGACGCAGCTTTAGTTAAGATCCGCATAGGCTGTCTGTAATTAGTTCTCCACTTAGCTCAATAAATTCTTCTGTGAGTACGTAATTCATTATAAATAAATATTACCATGGAGATGCAATAATTATAATAATTTTCCAATATTTACTCTATGTGAATGCTTCTTAACTATATGCGTTTTACCATTGTGTAGTAAATTCTTGAGCCTTCTAATAAGCAAGCTACTTAATGTTTACATGTTGCTTATTGTCTTCATATGCAGAACCTGCGGAGCTAGGAAGCCGTAGAGAGCCTGGTGTGATCTCCTGCAATGGTCTCACGGATGCCCGGTCTCAGTCTGTGTCAGCGGAGTCTCTCGGGAGTCTGTGAGGACAGAAGTGTTTTCAGAAGAACTCTAACGTTTAATTACGCTTCTTGCACTCATGCTCGGAGTGTGCAGGGAACTCTGTGGTGGCCGTGTGAGTTGGGACGAGGTCCCTCTTGCTGATGGGCAAGGACACATGACCGATGTCCTCTCTGAACCGTGGGGCTGTGTTCACACCCCCTGGGGAGCCATGGGGCCTGGGGTAATATTGAATCTCATACATTCCAGGCCTGTCCTCTATGTGTGTACTTACGAAATAAAAGAGCTTATAAATTAGCACAGTAAAAGACTAGCAGCAACTAATAAAAAAAATGAGAATCATATCCTGGAATAACAGTTATCTGACTGCGCTCTCTCTCCTTAGAAGCGTATTTTTAGAAGGAACTTCATGGTGGATAATAAAAACCATGGAATACAAACCTGTGGCTTGCATTTTCTTGAGTCCTGGCACTTTCCTCAGCCTGGGCTTTCTGTACAAACACGAAATGACGCACCCACAGAAGCAGCAGCTCCTTGGGCCCGTCACCGATTTTAAGAAGTTCAAAGAGGGTTCTGAGACCACAGGTTTGACAAAGGGGATTTTGTATCCTCCACTCCCTGCCAGGTAGGTGCCCTTCTCTCCCTGGAGATGCTGTAGCCTTAGATGGACATAGGAGATGGCCAGGAGAGCCACAGGAGAGCGGAGCGGGAGATGCTGTGATGGGGTCTGAACTTTCTGGACTGCATCACAAACCTCTCTAAAAGTCCCCGGCTTGCAGCCATTGCCTGGGGACATTCTTCTTTTTCCCTCTGGATCTGCAGTTGTGGTAGTCGGGCGGGGCTGGGTGGGGCTGGGCCTGGCCAGGCAGGGCTGGGCTGGGTGGCTTGGGGCACCCCCCAGCTGCCCTCTCCTGCCCCTGTGCCCACTGCAGCGGAGCCTGGGTTCTGGGTCTTTGTCTGCTGAGGGTGCCTCCTGGGGCGGGCAGCGGGCTGCCCTGGGGCTGGCAGGGAGCGTCAAGTCCTCTGCGGGCCTCCGTGTGGACCTGCCCCGGGCCTCGCTGGTTGAGGTCATGCATACCTGGGGCCCAGGCACAGCATCCATCCTGTGTGGGAGGAGGCGTGGGCCGCCTGGCCAGGGCTGCGGCCAATGTGAAGAGAGGCCGTGTGTGCACACTGCCGGCCACTCTCACCATTGCCTGGTCCCTCTTTTGTCCACCCAGGAGCTCCAGGTGTCTCCGCAATGGCCGCGTATACTCTCAACCATTTTCCCTGGAGAGTGACGGTTGTTGGCAAGAGCGCCAGACCTCATCATCGGAACGTGAACTCTCTCATCGCTTCTAAGTGCCATCATTGGTAAGAAGCAGCTGTTTGGAATTATAACCTATTTTTCTCTGAATTGGGGATGATTCAGGCTCATCCAATTGCTCCCTGGAACAGGTATTGTGCTGACAGGACTTGGACATTCAGCACAAATGTGCACCTGCGTGCTCTGATCCGCATCACCTGATGGTGTAGTCCCAGAGTCCCTCGGGCAGTGATTTGTCGAACGCCAGCCATTTACAATTATTTTTTTTAGAATAAATAAATGCAGCTGTAAAAGCGGTTAGGGAGATGTAAAACCTTCGCGCAACAAGACCGTTCTTTTCTCAGAGACAGTGGGATTTTAGGGAATGTCAGCGTGGTGGTGGCATTTGTTCTCAGCTAAGCGATGGGGAGCCAAGTGCTGCTGTGATACCAGCTCCGGAGGATGCGCCGCGGCACAGTAAGAAAAGAGAAATGATTTAATTGTCTTTGTCTCCGTGCTTTCTCTGTTTAATTGCAGGGTTGTGTTTTATCGTAAGTGTTAGCGTGCGTGTGCAGGTACTGTGTCATTAGCTCACATCAAATCCCTTGTTCCACCGCCAGGCTCCTCGAGCTTCTACACCACAAGGGTTCCTCTGCAATGGCTCGGCTTCACCACCCGCCCCAGTATCAGCGAGAAAACCTGGGTGTCGACTGAACCCTGAGATCATTAGAAGAGTCCAGAACAACGTGTGGAAATGAACCACTTCTTAAATCTTAACTCCAGGAGGATTCCCTTGCGGATGTGCAAGAACAGAATCGGGAGTGCGATCTCAAAGCGCACGGTGCCCAGGTCTCCAGGAGGGCTTCTGCGCTTGGGAGCTGGCAGAGATGAAGACTAAAGTGGAATGGAACGTGCCAACATCCCCTGGGCCATCCGTCCACGTTTCCACTCACCCCAGCCCTCAGCAGAGCCGGTTCCCCTGCATGGGGCTCCCCTGCACGGGGCTCCCCTGCACGGGCCTCCCCTGCACGGGCCTCCGTCTGCCCCGCGTTCCTCCCTGACGGCCTGGCTCCTAACGAGATACCCACTCTTGGAGGTTTTCCCTTATCCCAATAAACTGGAGTGAATAGCTGCTTGATTTGTTATTGATTTCCCCGGAGACACATTTGGGGCTGCATTTGCAGCACTGGGTTTTAAGAGCAGGGAGTTGGGGCCAAGGAAAAGCTTCACAGCACAGCGAGCCTCGGGGCTTCTGTGTGTGCCAGTGAATTTCCTCTCTGGGGTAGCTGGCCTCCATTAGTGCAACATCCTGGTGTAAAGAAGAAGGGAAGGACGGAGGGAGGGGAAGGACAGAGGGAGGGGAAGGATGGAGGGAGGGGAAGGATGGAGGGAGGGGAGGGACCTAGGGAGGGGAAGGACCGAGGGAGGGGAGGGACCATGGGAGGGGAGGGACCATGGGAGGGGAAGGACCTAGGGAGGGGAAGGACCATGGGAGGGGAAGGACCATGGGAGGGGAAGGACCTAGGGAGGGGAAGGACCATGGGAGGGGAAGGACCTAAGGAGGGGAAGGACCATGGGAGGGGCGGGACCATGGGAGGGGAGGGACCTTGGGAGGGGAAGGACCTAGGGAGAAGGACCGAGGGAGGGGAAGGACCTTGGGAGGGGAAGGACCTTGGGAGGGGAAGGACTGATGGAAGGGAAGGACCGAGGGAGGGGAAGGACCAAGGCAGGGGAAGGACTGAGGGAGGGGAAGGATGGAAGGAGGGGAAGGACCTTGGGAGGGGAAGGACCTTGGGAGGGGTGGGACCACGGAGGGGAGGGAAGATGGGAGGGGAGGGACCGAGGGAGGGTGCTGGAGGGAGGTGTGACCTTCACCAGCAAGGTCAAGATGTAAAATGTCACTGAGACTTTGGAAGATGTGTGTGTGTGTGTGTGTGTGTGTGTGTGTGTGTGCGCGCGCGCGCAGTACCACTCAGCAGCTTCTCATAGTGGTCTCAGTTCATTCAGATTCAGCCCATTGCCACAGCCGTCATGGTCTAGTGCATACTTCAGTGTGGGAGTTCTGTACCAAGTGCTCTGGGTGTTGGGGAAGCTGCAGCAGTCCCTGGGAATGGAAGGCGATTCCTGAGATTCTTCTCTATAGGATCTGGGCTTGGGACTGGCTTGAGGTGTGTGTGTATGCAGGGGGGGGGGGGGGAATGGGGGATGGATGGGTGTGTGGGGGATGGGGTGTATGAGGAGGGATGGGTGTGTGGAGGGGGATGAGGGGGTGAATTTGGGGGAGGGAGTAGATAAAGGGAGAGAGGAAGTGTTGGAGAATGGGGTCAGAGGATGTAAGCGAACATGGAGCCAGGAACACTGAGGGAAGGGTGGGTTGGGAAAGATGGGGGAGGATGAGAAGGAGTAACGTATCAGGATGCACTGCACTCTCAGGCAGACAGGCTCCCTTGAAATCCCTTCCTACACCCACCTACGCTAGCTTTAAAAGTAGCTTAACGGGAATTGTATGCATGTGTGTATGTGTGCATGTTCTGGACTCTTCTAATGACCTCGGGGTTTAGTTGATACCCAGGTTGTTTTCGCTGATACTGGGGCACGTGGTGAAGCCAAGTGATTGCAGAGGAATCTTTGTGGTTTAGACGCTGGAGGAGCCTGGCAGAGGAATAGGGGTTTGATG